TGATGGCCTGAGGCACAGCAGGACTTTAAGGGATTTGAAGAGAACAGACACTAGGGATGTGTCTCCAAGGGAATTACACTAAAAACAAAAAAAACCAATGGTTCTCAAAGTGCGGTCCTCACTCAGCAGCTTCGGTGTCACTTGGAATGTTTTGGAAACGTTAATTCTTTGGCTCTGCTTTACCTGCCTAGGTAGATGATTCCAGTACTTGCTAAAGTTTGAGAACCACTGGAGTTATGTTTTGGTGTGGTTTTTTCATTTCCATGTTGTGTCATTGTGTCACCCATGGTGTGTATGTGTGTGTGTGTGGTGTGTTTGTGTAACATTTTAGAAGAGGATATTAACTTTAAATTTGTGCTTGTTTTCATGCAGGGATGTTAGTGGAGGGAAGAATAAACACAAAAGTGGGATCAATAAATAACAACAACTAATCCTAAAATGATCAGAAAAAGCCACAGGAAAACAGGCAGGTTGTTTTTTATATTCTTTTTCTTAACAGTCAAGTGTGAGTCCCTTGAAATTCTGTTGATCTAAGAATCATATTTATTTTCACTTGGAAAGAAACTTAGGAACATCTGTCACCTTCTCATTTTACAGATGAGGAACCCTATGGGGTAAGAAGTCACTGACACTTGTGTTAAACAGAAATTCACACTCCTGGGTCTGAGGAAGAGGGACTGGGGTAAAAAGTTTAAATTGAGTAGATATTCTTGATTTGGAAGAAAAATAAAATACTTACCCATGTTTTACAAAATTAAGTGCCTCATTTAACCATCTTCTCCATCTCCTGGCTGCTGCCAGAGGCTGGTGGCTAAGACTCAGATCAGTAGAGGAACACATGCTCTCTCCGGAGGCCCTGGGTCCGCAGAGCATACCGTGGCCCCAGCTGCAAGGCTGCCTCTGCCAGAGGAATGAAAGAGCCTTTTCACCCCCTGCTTCTTCCCTCCCCCTGATGCCAGGCACAGCACCAGCAGCAGCTCCCACCTTCCTTCTGTGAATGCCTTCTTCAATTCTGGAAGGAAACCCTATGCGACCTGCCCAGGGAAGAGGGCTCTTGAGTGAGTAAAGGAATAAACTTTATTATAATTACTAACCACTCTTTTTTTATTTATGCATGATATCCCTCCTTCTTTCAGAAGGTATTTAAGTGGGGGAACTTCGTTTTTAAGGGCTTGGTATCTGTTCCATGCTCTCCCAAGACTCATCATCTTCAGAAAGCCAGGATGGAGAGTCAGTCTTAGACCCAAGTCTCAACTCTTCCCACACTGCTGAGCTCACTGCCCTGCACACAACAAGGGCGCCGTGAATACTTGGTGAATTACTGAGTGAATGTACAAGAGAAATGAGGGAAATTGATGATGGAAAGCAGAGGGGAATTTCCCATTTGTCAGATGAGAGGGATCATTCCCAAGAGTTGAATCCTTTGTTTTTGACTTGACTTTTAGGAGCAAAGACAGTAAGATTGCATAGACTCAGGTTAGGATCACCGTGAAGTAAAGCATGGCAAACCAGATCCTTATATGTCTCCACTTCTGGGCAAAAAGAGCTTCCATATTTTCTTGAAAGAAAGTGCCTTGGAAATGCTCCAAGCCAGAGTCCAGGCAATCTTCCCAGCTGGGCTGAGTTATGGTTCTGATTGAAAATGAAAACTCAGAGCTATCAAAAAAGCAATGGTGAAATCACAACAGGATTTGGAGACAAATTATGTTATATGACATCATATAACTAAGGTGTCTGCTAATACTCATAGCTCAATATCTATTATCCTGAGGAGTATAAAACTCAACTGTCAGATAAACTCTCCATTGCAGTATTCCTAATAATTCTGTCATTTTTTTCTACCATAGCTTCTGTGATAGCTTTCAAGTGACTAAATAAATTAATAGAAGTGTTTTTTTTTCCCCTTCTGCCTGGGCCTCTTGCTATTTAAAGTCTGAATAAACAGTGAGGTGGACAGGATGTTGATTCTTGGAATAAAAAGGATGAAGGCAAATGACTTTGGAAGCAAATCAATAATTAATTTAATTTAGAAAAAATAGAAGCATTTAAAGAAAAAATTCTGCAATTTATTTTTTAATCGTTACATTTGTGCTCAAAAAACTTACATTGTAATACATTAAGATTTAAAATTTTATTTTTAGTAATAACAGATTGGAAAATATAAAACAAGTATCTATAACATATTGAGAGATTGACTTCTCTAAATATTAAATTTGACACATAGTGAGCAACTGATTAACTTGACAAGATGTTTTAAAGTTGCAACATTTTGGTTTGCAAATCTGTTAGGAAAGGCGTATAAATGACATATGAGAAATGACTTCCTATGGGCAAATCTTTAAGCTATAAAAATAGCTTTAATATTTATGTCTATTGTTATGTTTGGACTAAAAATTCGTTAGGATATATTTAATTGGTCTAGACCCAGGTACCTGATGACCTGATACCTAATGACTGCACCATCCCACTGGAGAGCGAGAAGATGTCACCAGGGAAGCAGAAGCATCTCCTCTGCCTGCTTAGCTAACCAGCTGGGAAAGCAAGGGTGTCTGCCTCCCCCTTTGCTCTCAGATTCTGTGATCTAAGAGGAGCTCAAATTACACTATTTTAAAACACACACAAAAAAATTGCGTGTAGGTTTTCAGCCTTTTATAACTAATGTATTTTCAGAACTCAGCTGCATTCAAAGTTTCAGCTGGAAACTGAACTGAGTACCATAAAGGGATTCAGTACTTTGCACGTAACAGATATTCAGATACTTGACAGATTCTTTAAAACTGCTGATCCAGAATTGCTACGCAGGCAGGAAGTTGGAATTGGGAGAGAAATATAAAATTATCTTTGAAATAATGAGGAAGTGTAGAGTTTTCGAAGGAGGTGTGCAAGGTAAGGATGTTAGTGGTGGCGGTGGTGACAGCAGTGTGATAATTGTGGTGGAGAGACAGGACGAGCTGCCATGGTGTGTGTGGCATTTGAAATGGATCTCGAAAGCAAAGAATTGTGGAAAGCAGAGTCTGTTTCAGAACAGCTGAAAGTGTGGTGTGGCTGGAGCACAGATGATGTAAAGAGAGAGGAATGTAAAGGAAGAGGGATGAGGCTGAGATGGAAAGCCAGACCAGATTTTATGAAAGGTCTTGGATGCCTTTCCAAAAAGTTTAGATTTATTCTGCAGGCAATATGAAATCAATAAAGGTCTTAAGCAGGAGCGTGAAGTGAACAAATTGTGTTTTAGAAAACTCTGGTCATAGATGGAGAAAGAATTAGGTTAGAGAGAGCAGAGAGAGGAGGCTATTGCAAAAATCCTGGTAAGAAGTGACTACACTTTGAACTAGGGCAGCAGTTGTGGGAGGTTTAAAGACATTTTGAAGGGTGAATTGCAGGATTTGGCTGTTGATTCTGTGCAAGAAGGAATAAGGAAATCAGAGAATGAGACCTTGCCCTCAACACATGGGCGCTCTAGAGTGAGGGGATGTGTCTTTAGTCCACTCACTCATACCACACATATTCATCCACCACTTATGCTGTTGCAGCAATTGTACTAGATCCTGGTGCTGCAGAGACAGAGGGTAGACATCAACAAGCAATTCTCAAGAGAAGAAACACATGAAGAGATGCTTGGCTTTCTTAGTAATCAGTGAGATTGACATTAAAATAACAACAACAACAAAACATTTGGGGGGAGAGTCTGGCAGACTGATAAAAATGGGAAAGAACAGTAATACCATAGTAACATATATAGTAACATATCCCAGTTTTATAGACTAGTGCACGTGTGCGTGCAAACACACACACACACACACACACACTAACATGTAGGGAAAATGGCAAGTGTATACACTAAATTGTTCATAGTGGTTCTTCTTGGATAATGGGGTTATGATTTGTTGGCTTTTATTTAATTCTTTGTGGGGTTTTTTTTGTACTTGTATAATTTTTTTAAAATTTAACTATGTATTACTCCTATAATCTAAAAAATAATGAATAATGCTATTTTTATTGGGAAAAATGAAAAAATGATGAAGATCACTGATAGATAGTTGAGGGGATGGGAAGGGAGCCATCCTGGGAGCAGGACGGGCAAGTGGAAAGGAATTAGAAGTGTGGAGTGCGGACAGAGTAAGTACTAGCAGTTCAGCCTCACACAGCATCGAGTGCAAGAGACACCCCGGACATTGTGCAAGAGTTTAACCCTTATCCTAAAAGTAATAGGGAACTAGGGCAGCTGCTGATCAGCAGACAGACATGGTCCCATGTGCAGATCCCTTTAAGGTCAGTGTGGAGAAAGCACTGGGAGGGGTTGGCAGAGGTTGAGAGGGAGATCACATAGGAGGCCAAGAGGTGATGGAAACTCCCATGGCAGGGCGGATGCTGGTCATGTTAAGTATGCAACCTTTCTGTGCCTCAGTTTTTGTCACTGTAGAATGGAAATAAGAAGAACAACTTCCTCAAAGGCCAACGCACCATGAAACTAATGAAGGTCCATTTTCAGGACCCCTCACTTGTACTAGTCCAAGTATATACTTTGAAGCAGTAATTTTGGTATTTATAATTTTCTTTTTTAAAATTTTATTTTCTTGTGGTAAGAGCACTTAACATGAGATCTATCCTCTTCACAAAATTTTAAGTGTTCAACACAGTACTGTTAGCTGTAGGCACAGTGTTCTACAGCAGATCTCTAGAATTTACCTGTCTTGCCTAATTGAAACTTTGTACCTGTTGATTAGCAACTCCCCTCCCCTCTCCTGCCAGCCCCTTGTAACCATCACTCTGCTCTCTGACTCCATGAGTTGGACTGTTTCAAATATCTCATCTAAGTGGATTCATGCAGTATTTGTCCTTCTGTGACTGGCTCATTCACTTAGCATAATAATGTCTTTCTTCAGGGTTCATCCATGTTGTAGCATATTGCAGGATTTCCAGGTATTTGTACTTTTCTTTTTCTTTAAAAGGACCCCGAAAACCATACAAGTTTCAGACCTCAGGAAACTTAAGGCCATTTCTGACAAGGCTTAGGATTGCTGTTGGGATGACATAAGCTAATAGTATGTTGGATGCATGACACCCAGTACCTGCCATGGAAGGTCAGCAGCTTTTATTATGTAAAGGTGGCGTAGGGATGATGGATACGGCCAGGATGGCCCCTGGGTATTCTGGCTTGGGTGCAGGGTGCTAGTCCCTCCCATAGAGACCATTTAATTTTAAAATGAAGGAATACTGGTTCAATTTTGGATATATTGAAGTTTAAAGTGCAGATAAAATATTCAGTGAGTGTCCAGAAGTAGGCCATGGCATGGTTAGGTAGAGAGCTCAAGAGAGAGGTTTGGGTTATCAATTTTAAAATTACCCAAATACAAAAGGTAGTTGACATCACAATTACAGATGAGAAGGTCCAGGAAGCATGTGAAGAATGAAAACTGAAAAGGGCTTGGAACAGAATCGTGGGGGACACCAATCATTAACAGTCAGTCAGATTGTGATGGTGGTTACACGCATCTATGTCATGTCAGAGTGCTGCAGACTGCCCTCCTCGCCCAAATGAGTGCATGGAAAAGCTGGTGAAATGCACATAATGCCTGAAGTTGAGTTAATGGTACTGTACCCATGTACATTTCCTGTGTTTGATAATGTTCTGTGGTTCTGTAGGATATTACCTTTGGGGAAAGCTGGGTGAAGAGTCCATGAAACCACTATTTTTGCATCTTCTTCTTTGCCTTTATTTCAAATTTTTAAAGTTCTTAAAAAAAATACTAAGCATCAGCAGAAACACTACAGACAGCCTTGGGCGTGCCCGTTTAGATAGGGCTGGTCCACAGTTGCTGGATAATGTGCAGTAAGATATTGTGTGTTGGTAGTATTTTATGGCTCTCTCGAGCAGCGATCTAATTTCAGGATACTTTCAAAAGAATGCAACCAACTGCACAAGCTATAACAACTGTGACATTCCTGTTGCAGTCTGTCTCTGTCAATAACAATCCTAAATCTTTTTAGGGAAAAAAAAGGAAAAGACTCAGGAAGAGGCAGAGAAGACTAGACGGGAAATTCTTAGAAGTGGGAGAAC